CTGGTGTCCTGGAACCAATCGCGCAGGGATATTGGGGGACAATTGCGCTTGATAATTTGGCTTACTGAACAAACCTTTACTGAGAACCCATTGAAGGGTCCTATCACAGATAACAAGAGAGACAAAAATGAATAAGATATATCAAGTGCTCAGAGTGCAAGGAAGGATAAGCAGGTAAAATATACAAAGAAGAGGTACTGAGCAGGCATGCATAGTGGAGGCCCAGCAGAGCTGCATCTGACCCAGACAAGGACAATAAAGAAAAGAATAAAAGGGGATTGAGAAGCAAGAGACAGACAACTGAAAAGGAGGGGGAAAGTATTCTAACCAAGAGAGCAATATATGCAAAAGCTTACCAGTAAGAAAGAACCTGGAAGAACTCGGGAAACTTCCTGCTCTTCAATATAGTGAGAACAGGGTAGGCAATGACACAACTCAGGTTGGAAAGGAGAGCAAACACCAGGACCTTCATGGTCACACAGGCCATGCCAGGAGTTACATTTTATCCTCAAGGTGCTCGAAAGCCATAGTAGGAATCCTAATGAGGAGACTGAGATAATAATTACATCTTAGGAAGATGACTATGGTGGCAACACAGTGCAGAATTGGAGGTGGAAGCTGATGAGAGACTGTGGGCAGGTAAGTCTTTTAGATGTCAGTCATGGCCCAGGACCAAAAGTTTAAGAGCAATGGTTGTGGTAAAGGATATTAAGAATAAGATTAAAAGATATCAAGGACAAAGAATAAATAAGACACTTATGAAGGGTGGTGGGAAGAGGGTTTGAGGTTGAGTCTAAAGTACCAGGATTGTAAAGATTCATATTTTATCAAAAAATTTGGTAGTTAAGGAATTCTAGCAGTGTATACTTTTAGCCATAGGTAAATGATGCTATAATAGCTGTTTAAAACGTTTAAAACAAGGTAAGCATGGATTTTTTTTAAGCAAACTGGTGTGCCCTTTACAAAAATGTCTAAATTAACTAAGTTCATCATCCTAATATGCTGAGCAAACCTACATGTTTCACAGTTCAGCATCTAAAACCACAGAAATGTGGATGCAAAAGAAAATACATTTCTGGAACCTGGGAAAGTCCTTCTAAGGATTTGGTGTGAAGCACCTGACTTCTAATAGCAAGTATATAGGAACAAAATCTTTGCCACAGCATAAATGTCATATTTTCATAGATTCTAAAAATGGTAAAATATTATTTACTCACATTCAGATTTTTTTAATTTTTGGAATAAAAATAAGAAGATTTTGAATTTCAAGAACTATAATTTATAAGTTTTCTCTGATGATACACGTTTATAAAAAATGGATTTTAAATAACCAATTCTAATTAAAATAGAATCTTAACCAAAGTGCTAAGAACTATCTTTCTTATATTACCAATTTAATGCTGTCTTTTTTCCTTTCCTCACTTATGCCCTTTTCCTCTACCCCACAACAATACTTAACTCCTCCATTTAAACCCTATATAAATAAGCATAGTTTTCTTGAGTATTTGAAGTTACAATTAAAATACTTAGAGATTGTCTTAGTTTAATAACTCTAACCCTATGATTCTAATAATTGATAAACACAGAAAAGACAAAATGTGAATGTAACGAATGTCTTAGGAGCAAGGTCTATTAGTGGAGAAATGCCATTTTTATAGTCTCTGAAAGGTATAATATACTTGTCAAGACACTTAGAAGTAACCTGGCTATTTCCACCATACCAATAAATCTGTTCACATTGAGTAATTATAGGGTAGGAACTAAAAAATAATAAGACATTAAAGAATATAAAATATTATGCATGCATCATGAACTTAATTTGGAATTCTTTGTGTTTTATTAAAAGTGGGAAGGTCAAAAAAAGGTGGAGGTGTAAGAACTGAAAGAACTTCAATTGGAAAAAGACATGAACTGCAATTATATTCAGTGCCCTATTTAGAAAACCATCTTGAAGCCATCCTACTACAGTGTTAAAAAAGGAGGCTATTTGTTGACTACATTCTTTATATTTCCATTAATTAGTTATGCTTCAGAACTTATTCATTAAACTCCTTAGCACTTTTGACACACTAAAGAATTATGTACCTATCAAGAGACTGTTTAGAGGCAAGGATCCAAAAGGATGAAACTGCACCTGTCTTCGGATTCAGAGATGCTAATTAATTTTAAAATAACCTCCCTTCCCTACCTTTCAGCCGGCACATGAATCAGTGTAAGAGACAGCAGGGCCTGCTTATTTCTCTTAACATACTAACTTAGGAAAGTTCCCATTTTTCAAGGTATCCTCAGATGTGAAGGATGTGAGAATTGTTTCTCTCTCACCCTTACATGATTCAGGGTAAAAATCATTAAAAATGATAAAAAAAAAAAAAAAAAGGACACATTTCAATGCCAAAAGCCACAATTGACAATATGGATATAACAATCATGAATATCTGTGCGCCAAATAGCACAGCAACAAGTGTTATAAAGCATAAACTGCAAGAGATGTAAGGAGACATAGATAAAACACATGAATAATAAGATACTTTAATGTACTACTCTTAGTACAGGGACAAATCAAAAAGAGAGAGAAAAAAAATTAAGATATGGAAGACCCAATCAATTCATCCAATAAGACAGAACCTACAAGTGTGTGTGTCTGTAAAACACTTTATACCCTAATAATTTTTGCAACTGTTTTTAAACTTGCAATTATTTCAAAATTAAGCTACCAAAAAATGAGTAGAAGAGGAAGACTAACAAAAAAGGAGGAGCAGGAAATGAATGGACGGTCATCAAATGTCAGCTGTGATATCGGCAAACTGCTATTTTCCTCTTCCTTTCTTAAAACATTGTTAAGGCATCTCGAAGGCTAAATATTCTAATCTGATTGCCTTTTGGCTGAGCTGTCTTTTTTAGAGCCCCATGATAGAGGAAAAAAAGAAAGGTAGCCAGAGACATACCCATAAAATTTGACTCATTAAGCCAAGATATGAAAAATCTCTGAATCCCACGATTCCTGAAGAGGGAGAACAAAAACCACACACTCAAAATAATAAAATGTGACAGATATATGATGAGACTGGCCCAATACCCAGGGGCTCTGTGTTCATTTTTACTGTGTCATTGGGCAAAAGCAGCTACCATTTTATTTTAAAATGAAAGGAAAATGCATTTTGTCTGTCTCACTGAGCAAATGATTCCATTTTAGCAGACCCAGCCCAGAGGCACTGTACCCAGGGCTTTCTCCAACCTTCTTTTACAGTAGGAGTTACCAAGGTGAAGCTATAATGAAGAAAATGGGGGCAACGCAAATGACAATGAGTCCACAGCTGACATAATTTATCACAATGGTACTCACTTTCAGGTAATATAGCTGATGTTTGTTTTCCCACTCGCTATTGACATTAACACTTAGGAAACAAAAGTACATCTGTTTGTGCCTTGTGTTTTAACCTCTCCTTTAAGCAAACAAGAATGGTTGTACAGATGTGCTTCATTTTGCCACAAAGAATTGTACGGGTGATACGTACCCTTTTTATGAAGGATTATATTTAACTCCTTTATACTCCAGTAAACAAAGCAGAACAAGCACACACAGGCAGTATGCACACCCGCAGCACTGACTCTCAAATATTATAATTTTTTCTTTAAAAAGATAACATATAAAAACAGTTCCTAGAAGACATTGAACTATAACTGTAATATTATTTATAAACAGTTAAGGAAAGACTTACAAATAATAGTGGTCAGTCATTTGCAACCCTGAACCATTTTCTACAACTCACAATTTTTACAGAACCTGTTTTCCTAGGAAGGGTCATTTCTTTTCAACTCTCAATTCTGCCTTTTTCAAGTAATCGTGCTTTTTGAAATCGGTTTTTTGTTTTTGTGTAGGACTTTGCTTTAGCAGTTTCTGAAATCCATCAGTCAATCTTTTACTTATGAGAATAAGTGGCATCCAAGCTACAGTAGGTTGACCTCGGCAGCTAAAAATCCAATAGCTTAAAAATTGAGCTCATTTTTCATGAGACACAAGCCATGAAAAATGTGATCAAAATAAGGTTGACATCCTGCAATTCTAACTTATTTTATCTGATAAAAAAACAAGGGATGATTCTCCTCTGACCTTATTATTGTTTCCTTTTATATCTACATGGATTTCATAAACTGTTGCAGATAGGTGAGTAGAAAATGATCCAAAAGGTCATTTAATAATGTTTTTACCCAAATATTTCTTACATTGTCCCCAAATAAGCAAACAATTTTTATTTTATCACTTACACATACCACCCATCTTTGCCTTTTTGTTGGTGGTGGTGTTATTAGTACAACTACCTACTGGGTCTCTGAATTTTAGAATGAATTTATTATTAGCCAAATAGTTTTTCTGATTTATGAATACGGATGATAGAACCAGCTTTTTAAGCCTAAATTTAATTTCCTTACATTGTCATCACTCTAATATAACAGGTCAGACTCGTTCACCTCCTCAGCATTTTCAGCTCACTACTTATCCGCAGAGTAAGATGTGGTGGAGTAAGATGATCTATACTCAAGCCCTAACTTATTAACTAACTAGCTAGGAAAGTCACTAAACTTTTCTGGCTTTACTTGTCTCCTCTCCAAAGGAAAGGGTTGAACTAGACATTTTCTATTGCCCCTCTGAGACTAAAATTCTAGGTTACTAACCTGACAATCCTTCCACAAGCCACTTTCACACTTACCAGCATGGACATACACACAAGGCACCTTAAGCTATGCCCAGCTTTCGTCTAAAAGGTACTGTTCTACTATTGCCAAAGAAAGTTTAATCAAACCCTCACTCAGCCCATTAGGCTGTGACCAATACTAATGTCCTTTGCTTAAATAGCATTATTAGTTTTCACTAAGATTCATCATCTCATTAGTGACCCAGTTTCCAAAGTTACCAAAGGAATTTTCTCTTCAGAAACCTGAGAAGCAAAATCTCTACAAGTGTTACGCATTTGCTACTACATTAGGAAAGTTCACAGTACCTAAAATAGCCACCACCTCATCATCCTGGATGACTTCCAAGGATCCCGACACCACAAAGCAGAGGGCGTCCACGCTTTCTCCAGCATGGTAAATGAGGTCCCCGGGAGCACAGTGAATGGTTTGGAACTCTACTGCCAAGGCGCGCAGACACCCATCGCTGGCCAATCGAAAAGCAGGATGCTCGTTAAAAACCTTCCGGTTTAGGTGAACACAGATATCAGCTCTCATGTCCTTGGGACAGATGGAGAGGACCTAAAGAAAGTGAGAGATGAATTAGTGAGAAGGAGAGTGAAAAGAGCTATCTCAGGGGGAAAAAAAAAAAATCCAACAATGGCCATGCGCATGTCTGCCATCCACTGTGCTGGGTACTGGGAAGGCAAAGCTAACAAGACACAGCTCTGCTCTCCAGGAGGTAATAATCTAGCGAGGTGGGCTGATGAGCAATGGTCCATTAAAATACAGCACCACGTGGTAAATGCTTTGAGAAAAGTATGGATCTCCCCATAGAAAGAACAAAATCTTGAAGTGGTCAGGAAGAATCATAGAAAATAAGTCAAAATCATTTCATCAAAGAACCAACTAAAATAGAGTACCGACATTCACTTTAGACTGGCAGATGTTTCAGAATTTTGTCATAACTAAATCAAAATTTAGGGTTATGAACTTCAGTCCCTACTGAAGGAGGATTCGTATTAGCCAGCTATGAGACAACAAAATCAACAAAAGCACCCTGGCAACTTGGCATGCTGGCGCTGGCAAATATTTACTAGAACTCCACTCTTAATGTGTTTGGTTCACTCTGAAAGAGTTTCCTTTTACAAATGAGTTCATGTCCAGGGAGGGAAAAGGGTATTCACCAGCCTTCTGCAAGGCTTGGGCAACTGGAAATGTCAGTGTTGGCAGGGTGGGAATATCATTTTGCCTGACAATCCTTGCTCATTCTGGTCTTTGACTCCTCAGGACTGCTGGAGGGAAAAATTCAAGCCTTTGGCATGCTTTAGAAATGGAAGCAAATGGTAGAAGCATGCTTAAAGAGCAAGGGGTGGAGAGTTTTATTGGCTGTAGCTTTTTGACAGGATAATTAAAGAGCCAGATTAAAATGGACAATATCATCATATTTAATCAGAACATCATCAAATGAGATGTGATTATATAATTCAGTACCACCCATTTTAGAATTGCAAGTACAAACTCATTTAGAATCCTCCTCCAACTCCCTTGGTAAACTATTCCTTATAATCACAAATGTTTTTTCTTTGATAGGATTTCAATCCCTCCAAGCTGAAGCTAAATTGATTTTAGCCCATTAAGCTATACCGTATAATATTTTAATATAAAATAATTTTATTTCCTCTTCTAATTGCATTTTAAGCTTTAAAAAATTACCTAAAGCCTGAAAATATCCCCTGACTATTCATTTTATTTGAGGGCTATCAGTGAAAAACTGGTTGCTTCCCTATGGAGAAGACAAGCCCATCATAAATGTAAGGACCATTAATTAAATTATGCTTTCAGTATCACTTCTCTTAATCTTTCCTAATACTGTACATATATTTCATATCACTTAATCATCTCTGTGGGTTTTTTTTAATACCCCCTCAAAATTCCTATAGGCAACAGCAATCAGCTCACCTTACCTTTCTGGAAAATCTCATCTATGAAGAAAGGAATGCCTAACGGAGCTTAAAAAGCAGTTGGCACTTTCTTTCAATGTCATTTATTTTCCATAATAATGTAATGTTTTCGGCCGGGCGCAGTGGCTCACCCGTAATCCTAGCACTCTGGGAGGCCGAGATGGGCGGATTGCTCGAGGTCAGGAATTCGAAACCAGCCTGAGCAAGAGCGAGACCCCGTTTCTACTATAAATAGAAAGAAATTAATTGGCCAACTAATATATATAGAAAAAATTAGCTGGGCATGGTGGTGCATGCCTGTAGTCCCAGCTACTCGGGAGACTGAGGCAGAAGGATTGCTTGAGCCCAGGAGTTTGAGGTTGCTGTGAGCTAGGCTGACGCCATGGCACTCACTCTAGCCTGGGCAATAAAGTGAGACTCTGTCTCAAAATAATAATAATAATAATAATGTAATGTTTTCTTTAATGGATTAACTTTTAGTAACTTGGGACAATATTAGTCATTCCACAGGAACTTATTGAGCTTCACGTCACTGTGTTAGGTCCCCGGAACTAGAAGGATAAAGAAGATGCTGCCTTTGCCTTAGAGGAGCTAACCATGAAGTACAGGATGTCGGCATGTAAAGGGACAATTATAATACAATGAATAAAGTACTGTGATAGAGGCATGTCCAGGGGGATCTGGGAGCACGTGCTGCCTGTGTGTCTTTACTTATGACTTACAGGTAACGTAAAAGATCAGACTCAAGAGGACATAAGTCTGGGCTCAGATCTATCACTTACTACTACCTCTGTAAACCAGGACACCTTATTTAATCTCTCTAAACCTCATCTGTGAAATGGGGATAACAATAGTGTTTATATCATAGGCTCACTGTAGGAATTAAATGAAAGGGCATGAATTTAGCCCAGCCTAGCCTGGCACACAGCACAGGCTGAAGAAATACTAGCTTTTATTGTCCCTACTGAACATGTGTATTTCTGTAGAGTTTATTGTTGCTTTTAGCTCTCTACAAAAGCAATTTGCTTTTTTCACTTTCCATCCCTGTCTGAAGTCTGCATCTGGGCTGTTTGATAGATTTTCAGACAAAATTAAGAAAATATTGCAGCATGAACCTGAAGATATTTTAAGTACTGGTTAAGGTTAATATTTTTCTCAGGTTGAAAATTAAATTAGCTCTAGAAAAACAAAAAATAAAAATAATTTTAAATATTATACACACATACATAGACATTACACTGAATAGCTTAATAGGAAAATGGATTGCTCTATTTTGATCCATTTATCATACAGGACTTTCATTGTTTTTGATTCATTTTGATAATAGACATATTATGCCCTGTTAATTATTTCTTTAGGATTCATGTTGCATATGAAATCTTCCAATATTTGCAATATTCCATTTTGTGGCACATTGAAAGGGAATTTTTATTACATTATGAATACATCTTTCCTTTTTCATTTCACTTCACTTATGACACTAACTCATTTATTCTTTTGATTGATAGCATCTACTTATGTCCAGATACCATAAAGTGACAAGTTAAAACTGAGAGTTAAAATACATCAGCTGAAGTCACACCCAGTGGCAAGCTCTTTGCCTATCCCTATATAGATGATGTGCCTTACATAGTGCTCTTGTCATCAAAATATGAGTATCTTGTTATTTACTTTGGAAGTGAAAGCACGAAAAACTGTCTTAGGCAGAGCAAAATTGAGTTTTAAGTGATAGAATAAAATGATCATTCAAGATAACTCTCATACCTGGCCTATTGGTTCCAATTTCAATGTGCTCTGCCTTGAATGTCATATCCAATTTATTGTTGATAGGTTCCCTAATAGCTATTTCATAGTTACAAACAAAGAACATTACATTTCAGTGGAAAATCTTCAGATTAAAAGTGACTTTTGTTTGTCTCCAGGGTTGATTATTTCTCCCCTCTTCACAATACAATGTTAATAAATTAGAATCTCCATTAAGATCAGAAATAAATTTTCCTTTTGGAAGACCTATGGAAGTATATAAGGAATCATTTTTCAGAATCCTGCAAGCCAACCTGAAAAAATAAATGCCATGGTCTGAAAAACAAGAACTTTTTGATATTATTTATGATATCCATTAAACCCAAGGCCAAGAGATATGATAGCAGATAGTCCTCAGGCTCCAAAGATTTAACTTAAACCCTGCAAACTAAAGACCTCTTAGTGAAACACAAATACGATCATGTTATCTCTGCTTTCTTAAAATATCTGATGGCTTGCTTCCCCACCAAATAAAGCCAAAGTCCTAACCGAGCACGCAGGACTCTATGATGGGGACCTTCTCTAATCTTCACTTTCTCCAACCTGCATTCTAGTCACACCGTGTTTCTCACCACTCTAAACTCACGATGCTTTCTCACAACTTTTTGTTTTCGCACCTGCTGTGCCTGATTTTCCTTTCAAGAAGCTTATTCCATCACCCCTTCTCTGCCCAGTCGTCCCTGACTCCCTGGTCCAGGCACCAGCCATCCCTCTCTCTACCTTAAACACAATTTACACACAGCCCTCTCATAGAATTTAGTAACATGTAGAGGATGAAAAATGAGAGTAAGAGGTGCTGTTATTTGTTGTGGTTGTTAGATAATAGCCCAAAATAGTAACATGGAATTATCACCAGAGATTTCAAGCTTTTATTTTCAGCTGTAAAATCATTCTTTAGTTTTTTTAAAAAAATAAAACTGTATGCCCAATATATAAAACAGATAGAAGCAGAATTATGCTGGGAAAAGCTCTGCTGGGGAGACAGACTCCCAGGCAGGGCTCCACAGGGCACATGCAGTCATTCGTTCCACTCATAGCTACTGAGCACTGGTTCTGTGTTAGTTACGTGCCGCCTGGTACTCTGCAGGCCCTCGAGATCTTGACCAAAAACACTCATGGTGCCTGCTTCCCTGGAGCATCCCATTAGGCACAGTTTAAAAAATCACTGCCCCTAGCTCAGTGTCCCATTTCACAGACCAGGCAAATGTATCTTACAAAGGTTATGTGATTTGCTAAAGTTCCTTCCAACAAATTACCAGCAACACCCAAAACTCTTGAGCTCCAGGTACTAAGCTATGCTCCTGAGTGACGCACAACCAGGAACAAAATTAACATCTGGCACTTTCCAATGTTTTCTAGTTCTCTGTTTACTAGAAGTATATAAATGCTGATTTCTGAAATCATTATGGTCCAATTAATCAATTCTATAGTTTATTGATTAGGAAACCACTAATGTCCCCACCACCACAGACCACCCTAGATTTCATTGGAAATATGTTTTTATTTCTAAACACTTTAATTTCAGATCCAACAAATGTATCGCATACCCGAACATGTTGGTAAAAACACAAGAATTCATTGATAAGTTGTTTATATATTGTTACCATTAATATTTGCCAAAGTTAAGCCATCTTATTTGAAATATAAGTTTGAGTATATATAGGAAAAGGACTTGAGCTAGATATTAGCATAAAGTGAAAATTTGATAAATGTTACTCTACTTGGGTCCCTTCCTCTCTCACTTTCACCCATTATGATAGCAGTAATGTCATAAAACCCTAGAAGAAGAGGGAGTCTAAATATAATAATTAACAC